GACCTTTACCAAGTCGCGCCAGTCGTGGATTTGCATAGGGGGAAGGTGTTCGAGCCAAGCTCGCGCTGAGTCTGACAGGAATAGGGGGAGGTTGCGGATGACGAGCAGGTCATTGTCCGCACCGCCTAGCTGACAAGCCAGACGGTAGTCGGCCAACCATAGCTCGGGGTTGGTCTCGCTGCTGTACTTTGAGAGATTCACTGGTTGATGAAACTGGGTCAGGAAGCGGGCGCTGCGGATGGCCTTACTGAAAACTCTAGGGCCCGGCGGCCCGGGAGAAGGACTGCGGTCCTCCCCACTGTCATAGCGACCGCCTCGGTGCACTTGGTAGCCCCGGGCGGCCCCATAGTGGTCATGGCACCGTCGTCTGCTGTCCACGTGGTGGCCGTTTTGCGCCTCGCGTTGGTCGTCGAGGCGGTCGTGCACCGAGGGGGCCCTGAGGCGGTCGTGCACCGAGGGCTGTTTCGAGGCGTCCCCGCGTCGTCGAGACGCGGAGCTTTCGGCCTGCTGCACCGCGGCAGTCTCGAGAAGGCCCCGGAGTTCGCCGTGGACTCGTCGCCCCTCCGTGGTAGAGGGCTCGGGCATCGCTCGGACCAGTATTGCCGCCGCAGCGACGTTCTGGCTAGCGCGATTGAAGACAGGGGGTTGCTCGCCCCCCTCATCATCGTTAATGCGGCGGTTGACGTCGCGAGCCCCCAGCCGGGCCGTTCCGCCATCGCCGCGCCCCCGCTGCTCTTGCTCGAGGGTGGCTCGGAGCTGCTGCAGGAGGAGTCGATCTTGCTCGACCTTGGCTTGAAGCTCACGGAGCTGCTCTAGGTCTATGCGTCGAAGTTGCTCGGGGGTGGGGACACCTGCCGCCGCTGGCGGGGACCCCGTGCGTGGTGGTGTGGCGTTGGCTGCCCTTCCTCCATCGTTGCCCGTGCTCGGCATTCCGAGTCCGATGTGGAAACACTCACGAGTCGGGTCGTAAGCGTCCTCACCGTCAGAATCAGAATAGCCGAAGCAGTAGTCGCCCGTGATCATGAAGCGGCGCATCGCCTCAGGGTCGCGAATCCCGGAGAAGTCTGCTCCAACCCACGCCTCGTCCTCCTCTGAGGAGTCAGAGTAGGGTTGGATTGGAGTTGTGACTATGGGGTTATGGGCATGACGTTGATGAATGGAGACGAGGGCGGTGGCGTAGGAGGCGGCGACATTGGTCAGCCCGAAAGGGTACGGGGATGGTGCCGTCGCCAGGCTCTGCTCCGTCAGAGCTGGCTCCTCGGGACGAGGCGGGACAGAGCTTGATGATGGGGCGTCGCTGTGCGCCACCGGCCCTTTTCCCCTGTCGAGGCTTAAGCCGGACAGGTCCTCGTGCAGGGACTCTATGCCAGCAGCGGGGTATGGGATTCCGGTGGAGCACAGATCGGCGTTCTGTACTTGCGTGGTGTTGGGGTGGACTCGCCCGCTCGGCGCTCGGCGAGCTTGATGGGAGCGGCGGCCCGGGCGCCGTCTGCGCGTGGGCTGTCGGTGCAAGACGTCGTCGTCGGTTGATGGCGCTCTAGGTGAGAGGAGTACCATGTCGTACTCGTGCCCTAGAGACATGAATTCTAGGCTCCCGAACCAGACGATCATCCCGAGACGCAACGATCGCACGGGATCTGCCATCCAGAATCTGGTGGGGTGACTAAGCTGACACACAGAGGCCCCTACCTGGCGCGCCAACTGTCGGTGTTTCAGAACCGGGGGTCCTTAACCGACTAGTGAATTTGTGCTGCGTGCTCCCAATTCCGGATGGAGATGCAAAGAGACACAAGGTTTATACTGGTTCGGGCAATGGATGCCCTACGTCCAGTCTGAGAAGATGTTCTTGTATTCCTTGCACCGGGGTGCTCGTAGTAGGGGGTTACAAGCTAGGCGAGAGAGGGAGTTCGTCCCCGTGTCTCTCGTGAGGGAGGTGATATGAATTACGAATGAGGCGTGTTGTTCGTATGCGAGTATTCGTGATTCTATCCACCGTCCCTAAAAACGGTCCCGGCTGCCTCCTTTTATAGCCGCAGGAGGAAACCAGAGTAGTACATAAGAGAGCTACACGTGGAGCAAGGACTATTCGATGACGTATTTACTCCTGGAGCAGCATGGCGTTGTCGTGGGAGTTCCCATAGATGTCTAATCGGTATGGTCTCCACTGCTGCGCATTTGTTGACTTGGTGGATTGCAGAGGCTCGGCGGTCATCGTGGCCGGTCGTGCGAGGCTGTCGTGTGCGAGGCTGCCGTCTTAGGCCCCGAGAAGTGACCCAGTGCGAATCTGGGTCTCGCCGCCATCGGCGGAATAGTGCGAGACGTGCGCCTATAGGATACTGGTACCTTTATTGTCGATGAGGATGGTAGAAAAGGTGATCTAACCGTTGTCCCGTCGCTCTGTTGCGGCCTTTTGCCGCCGATCGTGGCTTACGTGGCGGGTGCAAATGGCGCGTGTCGGATGCGACGACTGCGCAGAGAGACTTTTGAGGCGGAGGCGACGAGGTTGCGGGGCGAGCCCGGCCTCGGGCGAGGCGGAGCGTGGTCGTCGAGAGGCCCTACCGGGGTCCCGGCGCGACGGGCGAGGCGGAGTAAGATCGGTGAATCCGAGGCCCCCTATCGAGGGGCTCGGGCGAGACGGAGTGGTCGGTCCGTTGATTCCGAGGCTCAGAGAACCCGTTCGACTCCCCACATTGCGATGTCGTCTTGGTGCAGGAGTTAGGCGAAGACAATGGTCGGTAACCCCTGCTCTATGCCATCGCAGATGGCAGGAGGTTGACGCGACTGGCGTGTAGTCGGTCACTTCGCTGTACTGTGCCATCGTGCGTCTGTCGGAGTGGTTGGGCGCTTGGATGCGATGTTTGGTCAGAGCAGTTTGGTTGAAGAGGCGGCCACGGGGCTGGTGCCGAGCCGAGCCTCGCGCGAATCGGAGAATCGGCACTTCTTCCGAGGCCCCGGGCGAGGGGGCCTCGGCGAGGGGGCCTCGACGAGGGGGCCTCGGCGAGGCGGTCTCGGGCGAGTCGGAGAATCGTTCGCTTCCACTGGGGCTCGGCGACGGGTCTCGGGCGAATCGGAGATTTCGGCCGAGACCTTGTTCGTTTATTCCGTTGGTTCTGTTCTTAGGGTCTAAGCAGTTTTTCGACCTTTGCTTGGGGTACCCTATTTTCGGGTATCCGACATCGGCTGTTACGGACAGTAAAGCTAATGTATCACGATTGATTTTATGTTGATAAGTACAATGCCCGCAGATGTAAGTGAAATCATCAGCTAGGTGGACATTACCAGTGTTAATCATTGAGCCGATGAATCTAACGAGAAAGGATATAATATGGGAACAAATCAACTGTCTAGTACGAATTAATCTATAAACGCTCTGAATCTAATCTGTTACCATCAACAGTGAGGTTCGACCGGATCGATAGCCGTTATGATGATAATAACAAACTAAAACCTTAGAATCCGTAAAACCATCTATACATCGACAGGCTTTCCGAAAGACACGCTATATATTTGAAAGCTCGAGCGAATTGGCTGAAATAGCCGATTCGGGTGAAAAGGGACTACAGCATGTGAACAATCGACTCTTTAACACGGACAGACCTATGAACTCATCAGACTTAACCTGATGTCTCTAACAGTGGGGTTCGACCGAATCGATACAGCCGTGATAAATACAACAAATTAAACCTTTAAAGTAAACGGATCTATTCATGTTTAACAGAATCATGGAGACACACCGTAGGCGTTAGAGCATAGGCGATCGGCTATTTAGCCGATACAGACATAGCAAACAGTTAAAGTCACTCCTAATCGAGAACAAATCTACTAACTAACATCCTCGAATCTACAGGGTCATTAGTGGAGATCAACCGGATCGTTACAGCCATAATAGCGAACTATAGACCAGATTTAATTAGCCAGCAAACCTCTTGAGGATCATACGTGCCTTAATCGCGTACTATGCATAATCAAGATCGAAGTAAAAACAACTGATAAAACGTAACCCGTCGCTCAAAGTAAGAAATATCGTGTGGTAACAAAGCAAATGACGGACTAAAAGAATATGAGGCCGATCTAGATCGATCTCGACCGGGCAGATTGATGTTGCTGTAAACTAATAGAAATAAGAACATTAGCAAGATCGATAACTTAATGAATCTACCCGAAGGACGCCACCCTTAGGTAGAGCCGATAACTTGACCTTAATCTAATTCGAGCAGTGGAGGTCGAACTTAACCGATGCAGCCATACTTGAACTAGATAAGAGTCGATAACTAATTTATACTAGAGTTCGCAGTGAAGGTCGAACTTAACCGATGCAGCCGTACAAACAGAAGTATAAGCCATGACGGTACTTACAGACAAGCCAGAGGTCGGCCGGACTGATGCAGCCCTGCTTGTTAAAGAACTCGCCGAGATCTACTCTACTTCTACTCCTAAGGGTTGGTACGGAGCCAAAAAAAAATAACTTGTATTGATTGATTGGATGATCTTTACAATAGCCGGGGTCCAATATTTATACCTGTAGCCTAAGCATGAATATACTCAAGTACGATTCATTACCATCTTTGGTATAAAAGAAAACATTCCTAACTTAAGATAACTTGGTCCCTAATCTTTTCTTTTTTAAATCCGATATGTACTTCCCGACGCCAACCGTAGCTCATTGTCGTTATCTGCTGACGTTATTTGAAGAGAGCCGATTCTAATATCGTATCTGGATTAGCTAATATCGATCCTTATACAATCAATCCTGGATGATACAATCTTCGGAGTTTTCGCGTTCTTCTTTCACGAAGAAGACACGCGAAAGCGGCGAGCTTGGAGGCTTCTTCAAGTCTACGAATCTGAAACAAAACAAAACGTACGTACTAGTGTACATGAATCAATCAATCAATCGATTACATAATGCATGTAAGAATTTAAGATAGATGTATCTCTTACAATATATATAATTATAAGTTGTTTATTACGCGGGGTATGGGGAGAGGGACCGGCTTGAGCTAGGACGCTGTTTCTTGCATTTGTTGCGCTTGGGCTTGGGAGGCCTTGCTGCTGCTCTGTTTGGGGGACGGGGACGAAGGTGGCTTCAGCGCCTCATACCTGCATATGTATCATGTATGTATGTATGTATGCATGCATGTCATGTATGATATATGACATATATAGTACAATACAATCTTCTGCATATATAAGTGTGTGCCTCTACTTACGCCGTGTAGGGTGAGAGTGTTGGCTCTGCTGCTTTTCCTCCGGTCCTTGTCTCCGATGGCTCTGCTGGAAGTTCTGGCTGCTTTGGATCTGATGGCTTCACCTCTGCAGCCTCCGTTTCGTCCTCAGGCGGCTCATCGTCAGCTGCAGGGGGTTCCCTCTCCCTCTTGGAAGGAATTGTGGAGAGGAGCTGCTCCATGGGCAGCAACGGCGCGGTGGTCTCGGCCACCGCTTCCACGACCTTGCAGTAGGCCGCCCTCCTGTTGCTGTTGGTGGCCATGATGCATCCGATGAGCTCCGCCACCTGCAGGTTGGATACCTGGCCACCCACGTAGGTGTCCTCTGGTGCCAACACCAGGTTGTGCGTCTCCTTGAAAGCATCCGTCGGCCTCTCCATGCCTCCGGGCCTTATGATCTACGTACATGCATACATGTACGTACATGTATATGTACAACCATTGAAAGCATGCCGCATGCATTGTGATGAACCAAGATAGATCTATCGATGATGCATGCCTACGTACAGGTACATACCGTGTAGGGAATGCCGCTTGCGATGAGTGCTTCTTCAGCTCGTCTTTTCCAGTACAGAACCCCCCAGAACAAGCTGCTTGTTCCATCATTTGTTATTATTAATTTAATTACCCAGCCCAATAGTATAATAAGCGTGCCGGCCAAGCTAGCACAACCAATTAATTAAAATTACTTCATATTAATTACTGTTTATTTACTTACTTCAAGAGGAATGCAGGGAAGCCGATCTTGTTGGTGCCCAGGGATGTAACCAGGACGAAGTGCTCCACCTTGGCAGCAGATGCTGCATGCGGCCATACTACAGTGTTAGTATGTAGTACGAATATATATAGTTATTATTTTATTATTATTAAAACAATGAATTAACCTACGGCAACTACTAGCAGCTTAACCGTACCAGCCTGTACAAGTTTGTTGGTGGCCATGTAGTCGATGCGGTATGGGCCGGTGACATCCAGGATCTCCTTCTCGCTGGCACCGATGGAGCACACCACCAGGGAAGCATGGCCTATGGCTGAAACGATGCCTTCCTGCGCCTGCTTCTCCAGGTCACACTCCACAAGCTCCAGCTGCGCCTCTAGTTTCAGTTGCTGGACGCTCTGCAAATCAATGCAAACAATTCATTCACCATGCATGCATGCATTATGATATGATGATGAAGTCCATCAAATTCATTCATTCCCAAACAATATATTTATATACATGATGAATATGATACCTGCACCAGGGACGTGGCCCTCTGGGCGTTCCTGACGGCAGCGCGCACACGGAAGCCAAGCTTGATGAGCTCCCTCACGGCACGGGACCCAACTCTGCCGGTGGCGCCAGCCACGAACACGACGTCTTTCTCTCTCTCTTTCTGCGCCGGTGCCGGTGCCGGTGCCGTTGCTGCGGCCGCCGTCGCCGTTGACGCAGAAGAAGCAGCGGATGCACGAGACGACAGTAATAGTGATCTTTGCCGGGTTGAATGATTATTACCAATAATGCTGCTGCTGATCTGCTGCTTGATGTGAGCAGCCGCGGGCTCGAACTGGATGATGCAGCAGCAGCAGCCGGAGGAGGCAGGTGACGACTAGCAGTAGTGTAAGCTGATGATGATGCGTGGGGGTGGTGGCTCATGCGCAGCAGAGGAGGCGAGAGGAAGACGATGGTGTCCATGCCCGGCCGCTCCCACCAGCTTCAGCTTCAGCTTCAGCAGGCGATCCACCAGTCACTCTGCTGCCTCTGCCTACCGCATCCGCATGCATCCTTTTTCCCACGTGGCGCTGCCGTGTCCACACTCTGGGATAGCGTGGGACCCGCCCCTCATCCAGATCCAACATAAGATGACCTACTGATGTATGCATGCAGGCAGTGTCCATTACAACTTTTTCTTTCACACATACTCTTGCATTTGCTCCCTTGGTTCTGGACAAATTTGAACTTCAATAACCTACTCATGTATGCAAGCATCTCCGTCAGTTATTTGCTTTCTCTCTCTCTCTCTTCAGAGTATATTGTCAAGCCAACTTTGTTCTTTTAGCGTTTGCAAAAGATACTGCCAGCCAGTAATGGATGCAACGTTCAGATTTTCACAAAACTGAACAGCCGTTGGTCAACAACATCAAGATGGAAAAAATGGATTATTGAGAAGTTCCTTTTTACGAGAAAATTGCTATATCTTGAGCCCATGTTAGTTTTGACTGTGTTTTCGTGACATCTTCAGCCATTGGATCACTAGACACATCCACAGCACTGCGAAAAGTGCAATTTGGCTTGAGGATGTATTTCAACGCAGAGTTTCACATGAACCAATTTGATTTGAATATAAAAGTCAATCTCCAGAAAAGAAAAACCTGCGCTCAAAAGAAAGGCTCAAATAGTGGTCTACGATAGCTAGGTACTGTACTAGCCATCGTGAAATGATAAATATATTTTGTATAAGAGAAAAAAATCAAATTTAACAAACATTAAGCAATAATTATTTAAATTAAGATTTATATTGAAAGTACCTCTAAGATAGTATTAATTCTGTACCAACAAACAGTATGTAGATAAGTAACGATCAAAATATGTTTTATTTGATTTTTCTGATAAAAATACGCTTATATTACTCTGAAACGAGTTAAGTATTTAATATCGCTTACTTAGGCCCTGTTTGGCATAGCTTCACTAGTAGCTTCATGAACTGTTGTAAGCTATTTTTTTTTTTGCCAAATATCTTTTTTCGAAACAACTTCATTGGTGAAGCTTTTTTTTTCTATGCTCTCATAGAGAAATGGAGAGAGGTGAAGCTAAAAAAAATAGCTTTTCACGGCCCTTTTTCTCATTTTCCTCTCTTGGACATGCATGAAGTTGTTGGTGAAACTGTATTGTCAAACAATTTTTTTCTTCAAAAACAGCTCATCTTCGCTGAGAAAGCTGCTCGTGAAGCTTGAATGGTGAAGTTGAGCTATGCCAAACGAGGCCTTCACCTGTGATGTGGTGTGCAAGGGCAGTAGTAGAATGCAAGGTGACTTATCCGTAAACATAAGCTGATAAAAAATAAGTGGATTTATGAGAAAATTAAATCTATTTATAGGTTTTGAGTTGCATCCTAGGCAGCAGCAGAGCTGAGAGAGAGAGCATCTATCTGCTAATCCATCAAGCAAACACCCAGGATTACTGTCTGTACCATCATCTTCTTCCCCCCTTCTTCTCTATCATTCATTCATTCATCTCTGGTGCTGACTAGCAGCAAGCCCAGCTCAGTCAGCACGAAATCATTCTCTTTCTTTCATTGCTTTGCTGGATCATATCATCCGATATAGTACGATACAGTATCAGATAGTCAAATTGTGCTGTGCCGCTCTGTCAGTCTTAGCAGTGAGCACACGAGAGGGAGAGGCAGGGCCGGCCAGCGACACCACAGCATGGCGGCGGCCATCCTAGCGCCCAAACCGCCTCCTTCGCTGCCTACAAGGGCCTTTCCTTCCTCCTCCCCCTCCCCCTCGCGGTTCGCATCTGCCTGCATCTCCCCGCGGCATCCCCTGAGAAGATTGCTTCTCCGCCCCCATTCCGTGCGCCTCATCGCCGTCCTCCTCCGTCTTGATGCCGGAACCGGACCCGGACCTCGAGCCTGAGCCTGCCCACGATAGAGACGGAGATGAGCCCAAGACAAGGCGCCGGAGTCCAGGCCTCGCCGCATCGCCCTCTTCGTCGAGCCCTCGCCCTTCGCCTACGTCTCCGGCTACAAGAACCGCTTCCAGAACTTCATCAAGTCCCTCCGGGAGATGGGCGACGAGGTGATTGTGGTCACCACGCACGAGAGCGTGCCTCAGGAATTCCACGGGGCCAAGCTAATTGGCTCATGGAGGTGAGCTTGCTAGCTTTCCCCCCTTCTATCTGCTCCCTATCGTTCTCTGCCGCTGAAGAGGCGGACCAACCCATAGGGCGGCCGCCCTACCTCCCCTCCGGCAGTACCGACTGCCCCTGTCCCCCACCCTCGGAGACTGGAGTGCTGACAATCGCCGCCCGACTGCCCGAAGCGGAGGTTGAAGACGAGATCTGAGCCCTGAGCGGAGGAGAGGCAGAGCAGTCGACGCAAGCTTGAGTTCTTGGGCTGGGGCGGATTGGCCCATCACGTGGCCAGCGGCCTTACAGCCGCTCTCCCTGGTGGCTTGGCCTCTCCCACTCGACATTCGGCAAGGCCAAGCGCAGAACGACGAGGCGGCGGCGCTCCCAGGCTCGGCGCCTCGGCGGCGAGTCGCTGGCTTCCCCGGCCTCTCGGTCCCGCCTCCCGCCTACTGGTGACCTGGCCCGATGCCCCTAGCTAGCCTCTCGCGCGTGTGCAACCGGCACCCGGTGGCTCAGCGGCTGCGGCTGCGGCTGTGCCCGGCGGCCCCTGTGTAGATGTGCGCTGCTCAGCTGCTGTGCCCATCAGCCGACACCTCTGTGGCTCTCCATTGCTCGACCTCGAGGTCGTCCCTGAGGTGGCTGAACGATTTACGAGTTTTTGCTCATGGTTCATGGTTGGTGAGGAGATGAACTCATTCTTTTGTGATTAAATAATGTCATTTCCTATTGATTTGTCTTTAAAATTGACAGGTTTTGTAAATGGTACTATAACTATCAAACTGAAGCATGTTGTGGATTCCAATTTTTTGTTTGTTGTTTTACAACTTTTATTGAAGATATATATATATATATATATTGCCTTTTTAACCAAATTTTTGTAGCCTCAGTTCGCCCTAGGTCCATTGTCGGGCTGGGTCCGCCACTATGCTGAATGCTAATACCACCAATAATAATAACAATACCCTACCCTCCTTGATTTGATCCCAGCTTCCCTTGCCCCTGGTATCAAAAGGTTCCGCTGTCGCTGGCCCTCAGTCCTCGAATCATCGGAGAAGTTGCTAGATTCAAGCCTGACATTATTCATGCCTCTTCCCCTGGGATAATGGTCATTTCCAGTACACTTACTCACTACTGTTTCCCCTCCCCTCTTCATATTCTGCTAAAACTGCTTCTTTTCTTCTTGGCACGTATTTGGCGCGCTTATCATAGCAAAATTGCTTTGCGTCCCTCTGGTGATGTCATACCACACCCACATTCCAATGTGAGTTTCTCCTTCCGAAAATGTATCTCAATTGTCAAACAACTGAATCAGATTTATTCACCGCTCTCCACTGCCAGTGGCATACTGCTGCTCTCACATTCACATACTGCTTTTCACCAGCATACATGTAGCCCTTCTGCTGTTCTGCACAAGAAATGGGCAAAAGAAATTGTCTTACTGCCTTTACTCATTGTCGAACCTCAAATTTCAAAACAACAACAACAACAACAAAGCCTTTAAGTCCCAAACAAGTTGGGGTAGGCTAGAGTTGAAACCCAGCAGAAGCAATCAAGGTTCAGGCACGTGAATAGCTGTTTTCTAAGCACTCCTATCTAAGGCTAAGTCTTTGGGTATATTCTATCCTTTCAAGTCTCCTTTGATTGCCTCTACCCAAGTCAACTTCGGTCTTCTTCTGTCTCTCTTCACGTTACTATCCTGACTTAGGATTCCACTACGCACCGGTGCCTCTGGAGGTCTCTGTTGGACAAGTGAAAACAAAAACAAGACCTGTGAGTATTTCTTGTATTTCATAACCGAGACAATTTGAATGTTCACTTCACCAAGAGAATGGCAACTGGAACAAAACAGAGTCGTCTTCTCTTAGCTTGGCTGAATGCTTAAAACCACCTCAACCTAATCAGAGGGTCCTTAAAAAACATTGTTCGGACTTGTCAGCATTCTGTAGAGGACTCTTATTCGAATCATATCCTATAGCATCATACTTTTTACCTGCAGGGCTGCATGGACAACTGATCCTTTTGATAATGGCAGTTATATACCTAGATATACATTCAGCTGGCTTGTCAAGCCCATGTGGCTAATTATAAGTAAGTTTCAATCATCTATCGCAGGAATACATTTCCTTTGCGTGATTAAGTGACTGATATGTTTCCAACTTGATATAGAATTCTTGCACTGAGCTGCGGACCTCACACTGGTACCATCCGTTGCTATCGGCAGGGATCTTCAAGCTGCCCGTGTTACAGCAGGTTTACTTAACTAATCTATCTGTAGTTTCTTGTTCTTGTTAATTGTACCATCTCTCAAAAGGTGCATGTTTCCAGCCAATAAAATACGCCTTTGAAACAAGGGTGTTGACTCAGAAAGCTTCCATCCTCGTTTTCGCAATATGGAAATGCGTTCAAGGCTAACGTATGTATATTCTTCTTCCCCTCGCACAGTTTTGTATTTGTCCATTTCAATGTCTGAGTGTGGTTACGGTGATGAGAAAATATTTTCTTAGATACACATACCTAACTGTGGTGCTAATGTGTTCTGGTTTTCGTTGGAGCAGAAATGGCGAACCAGAAAAGCCACTTATATTTTATGTTGGGCGCTTAGGAGTTGAGAAAAGCTTGGATTTTCTTAAGAGGTGAGCCCTTTATGTGCCTGGTATTTTGAATGCTATGGACCATGGTATGTACAAGGTTGATGCTGGATCGTAGGTTTGCTATTTTGCAGAGTCATGGACCGACTTCCAGGAGCAAGGATGGCATTTATTGGAGATGGCCCATTCAGGTTAGCATTGTTATCCCTAGCCCTTATGCTTTAGTATTGAACCAAGAAGTGAATTAGTTTCCTTGTAGATTAGTGGGTGAAGATTTGAAAAAGGGGGGAATGTGATTCTGTCTTTGTGTGCAGGGCTGAGCTTGAGCAGATGTTCTCAGGTATGCCGGCGGTGTTCACGGGCACGCTGCAAGGTGAAGAGCTATCACAGGCCTATGCCAGCGGGGATGTGTTTGTGATGCCTTCCGAGTCAGAGACGCTGGGGTTTGTGGTACTGGAGGCCATGTCATCGGGAGTTCCGGTAGTGGGGGCTCGCGCCGGAGGAATACCTGATATCATACCTGAGGATCAGGAGGGAAGACCAGCTTTCTGTACACACCAGGGTGTGGATAACTGTGCTGGCAAGATCGAGCAGCTCCTGTCGAGCGAGGAGCTGAGGGAGGACATGGGAGGGCTGCCAGGAAGGAGACGGAGAAGTTTGACTGGCGAGCAGCGACGAGGAAGATCCGGAACGAGCAGTACAGTGCTGCTATCTGGTTCTGGCGCAAGAAGAGGGCACAGCTGCTGCGACCCCTCCAGTGGGTGTTGCGGCTGCTGAGGCCGACAACACCTGGGGCTGCCAATGCCGACGTCGTAGCAAAGCAATCATAGGAGGAGGCTATTATGGTTGATGGTCCTTTTTCTCCCCTTTCCTTGTATAAAATGGGCGAAGGACGCTCTGGCAGATGATTGAATAGTAGTAGTATTGATCCTTTAGTAGGAAATTGGTCTGCAGTCGACAATGATAATAATATATCTTGAATAATAAATAGTTTTTTGTATTCATTCAGTCAGCTTGCTTTCTCTTTCTAGTAGCAAAGAAGGTGAAACGAGCTGCAAAGTGTTTTAAACTAGTACTCGAAGAGTGATTGCAAAATAAATTTCCTCTTTTTTTTACGAGGAAAGTTTAAAGGAAATTTTTTATGTTTCGGGGGTTTTCTAGATATTTTTCTCATTTTTATAAACTTAATCTAATTTTGGAAGCTTCTAGAGATATTTCCATGAACTCTAAATATTTTATTTTCATTTATCATGCCTTGATCTATATTTAGGATTTTTCTCAAGATTTATCATGGTCTAAAAAACATATCTTTTTTAAAATAAAAAAGGATTAACCCACCTTAAGAGCCATTTCAAACCAGAGCAGGTGGTAATTTTAACGGTTTTGAGAATTGAAGGGATTGGATATATGATCTTTAAGTTTAAGGAAAAATAGATAGTTCAAAGAGCTTAAAAGGATTTTTCTATTAAAACAAATTTCGACAATGGACCAAAAAAGTTTAGACAATGGACCACTATAGCTACAAATTCTGGATAAACCACGCGTCAACTGAGATCGCCATGGATGCCATATCAGTTAGTAAAATCACCTGAATATATATGTATGCCTAGATCAATATTCTTGATTTTCAATTAGGATAGAGGTGATGGTAATTGTTTATTTCTTTGGGTCTAGAATAATATTGATTTGAGTTTGTGACGTCTTCTACACATTAGAAAAATCAGTTCATTATGCTTCTATGCATTAGAAATAATATTCTTCCATATGACATTACAAGTGATTGTGTAAATTTTTATGAGTTTGTGACTAGGACAATGGTGATATGAATACGAGACTGCTTCTATGCATTAAAAAAAATAAGGCTTTATGGTTAAGGTCTATGCACATGAGTTTGAGGTTGCTTCTATGCATTAGAAAAAGCAGGCTTTATGGTTAAGGTCTGTGCATTTGAAAAATAATTTTTTCTATGAAAATAGGATTTTGTAGTTAAAATAATTGGTTTTAGGAATTTAATTGTTATTTTTCTTATGAAAGATTTTTTTATAGACACGTGCGGCATGCACGTGAATCCCTACTAGTTATTTTAAAAATCAGTTTAAATTGTATAAGTCTTTTTTTAGAAATGTTTAAATTGTTGTCGGGGTTTTGAGCAAACACCAATGATTAAATTTGTATTTATTGCGCGTTGGGCCTGGATGGTGTGCTAAAGGACACAAGGTTTATACTTGTTCGGGCAGAATGTCCCTACGTCCAGTTTTGAGGCTACTGCTCGTGTTATTAGCACTGAAAGTTCGTAGTAGGAGGTACAAATGGACGAGAGAGACATGTCCCAAATCTCTGATGGAAAGGTCGAACGGGTGTTGAGAGCTTTGATGCTGCTCAGCTGTGTGTTACGTGATGCGTGGTGTGTTGAATCGATCCCCCTTCTTAGTGGGGTGTCCTGCCTTCCCTTTTATAGATCAAGGGAGAGTATGGATTACAAATAGGAGAAAGAAGAAGAACCAGAGGCCAAAAAGGTCCTTCAAAGATACTGGGTCTTCCTTTTCCTCTGAGCCAGCCCCGCTGACACGGCAGATGGTGCCAGAGATAGCACATTCGCTGATCCTGATAGGGCCGTGCTCTGGCTTCGTTCAGCAAGTGGTCACGTCCCATCCCGCCCCGGCAGGCGACGCGACGCACCAGGGTGCCGAGCCGCGACCCTACGGGGAGTAGACAGCGCAGAGACCATACGTTCGTTACTGTAGATGACATGTGTTTCCTCCTGGACCGTAGTGGTTGTCGTATGTTTCCATCAGGATTCGTGTCCGAGGGCAAATGTCGGTGCCCATAACACTGTCGGACAAATGTCGGCGCCCACAACACTGTTTTGGCTCTGACATGCCTGGAAGGGCTTAAAGCGCCCGTCTAGTCATATCCTGATGGTACTGTCCTGCAAGCGTGCAGGGTATGGTCCTCGGTATTGCAGTTGACTTGAGCACCCCGCCTTATCTTCGTGCGTAGTTATGAAGGAGCAGCGCACAGACGTCGGGTGAGGCAGAGCTAGCCCCCGGACGTCGGGCAAGGCGGAGCCTGCCCCCGGACGTCGGGTGAGGCAGAGCCTGCCCTCGGACGTCGGGCGAGATGGAGTCTGCTCCTAGGGGTTAGGCGGACGTCGGGTGAGGCGGAGTCTGCTCCCAGGGATCGGACGAGGCGGAGCCAGCCCCTGGACGTCGGGCGAGGCATGGCCTGCCCTTAGACGTCGGGCGAGGCAAAGTCTGCCCCTAGATGTCGGGCGAGGCGGAGTCTGCCCCCGGACGTCGGGCAAGGCGGAGCTAGCCCCCGGACGTCAGGCGAGGCCGGGCCTGCCCTCAGACGTCGGGCGAGGCAGAGTCTGCCCCCGCACGTTGGGCAAGGCGGAGTCTGCCTCCGGACGCCGGGCGAGGTGGAGTCTGCCCTCAGACATCAGGCGAGGCAAAGCCAACCCCCGGACATTGGGCGGGGCAGAGTCTGCCCTCAGACGTCGGGCGAGATGGAGCCAGCCTCTAAATGTCGGACGAGGTGGAGTCTACCCTTGGTCGTTTAGGCAAGAGGTGTAGTCACGCTCTTGTCTGTTCGGAAGCATCAACATTTGATGGTTATTAGCTCATCCTCTTTGGGTACCTCAGTATTCGGTCCCCGACAGTAGCCCCTGAGCCCCCGGGTGATTCGGATAGAATCACCCGGGGGGTGATTTGACTCGCTAGAGGGTCCGCACGAGCGCACCCGACGGGTGTAGCCCCCGAGCCCCGGGTGATTCGGATAGAATCGCCCGGGGGGTGATTCGTCTTGCCAGAGGGTGCGCTGAGCGCACCCGTCGGGTGTAGCCCCCTAGCCTCCGAGTGATTCGGATAGAATCGCTCGGGGGTGATTCGGACCCTTCACGGGTATAGCTGTGAGATTTGGCGGATTGTTACCAAGATAATTCAATTGGGATCCTGACATCCCATTCACGGGGATCCAGTCAGAGTCAGTCCGGCTGAGACTCGATCGTGGACCGAGACTCTCGTGAAGCATGTGCTCCTGAGTTTTGGCCAATCATGGGCCCATCCTTTTGTCGTAAGGGTGCCTTGGGACGGTCATCAAAACCGTTGATGTGCCCGCCCTAAAACTCCTGGGCCCAGCCATGCTGGAGGAACGCTTTTTGACTCGTATCCTTTTGCTAGTAAAGAGTCCTAGTCTGTCTGAGAAGGCGAAACGTCTGGTGTGACTTTGGAGGAAAAGGATAGGGATTGGGGGCGCATATCCTGCGTGGTGATGTGGTGGTGAATCGTGGCAGGCGCGGAGATCTAGGCAGACGGATGCCTTCCTCGCATCCGTCGCCCCTATAAAACCAAAGGGTTCACCCCTCGGGTTTCGTACATTGCCTCCTTGCCTTTGCATCTACAACCTCCACTGCCAGTCGCCTAAGCCTCCCGCATCCACATCTCAGCCGTCGTCAAGTTCGTATCCACCCACCCCAATTGTTCAATGGAGTCGTGGTGCAGATCCGATATCACCCTCCAGCGCCTGGAGGGCCTCGTTCGCCGTGGCCTTCTTTGCGTGCGGACTGCCGCCGAGGAGTGGTGGCTGCCCAGCAATGAGGACGTGCCATCGCCGCCCAAAGGCTACATTTGTATCCTTTGCTCACTTCTATGAGTGGGGATTCGCCACCCCCGCCCACAAGTTCCTTCGGGGGTTGATGCATTACTACAAGGTGGATGAGCAAATTTGAAGAAGAAAAACATTGTGGAAGACGACACTTGCCCCATCTGCGCCGGTGCTCAAGAAACAACGACACACCTGATCCTTACCTGTCCTTTTGTGGAGCAGCTTTGGAACAAAATCGGTGTAGATGTTTCGTCAATGCACGCAAGTACTATATGCTCTATAACCAAGCCTAACCACGTTGCCGCCCTGCATTTCGACACTCTTACACATCTTGTCTGATGGATGCTGTGGAAACACCGCAATGACGTGGTCTTCAACAATCTACCGCCATCTACCAGTCAACTTGCTACAAACTTCAGAGATGCAGCTCATCTGTGGTCGCACCGGTTCCCGGTCGCAGAACACTCAGTGGTTGAGCATTTGTGTAATTTAGCTGTTCCATAATGTCAGCCTAAACTGAATGTATCTCCAATGCAACGAAAAGGTGGGGATAACTCCAACTCACAACCCCCCCCTCACCTCAAAAAAAATAGTACATACACACATGTATCACTCAGAGAGACATGTACGTTCGTACGGAGCCGCATTAATATTGCTCCGCCAAAACTCACGACATGCATGGAGAGGAGTGCTAGAAGTATTTATGTCTTCTCTAAAATGTACTCTATTTGTTTTAAATTATAAAATATTTTAGGTTTTTTTTTTTAGAGTTCATAGCTTTTGTAAAGCAGCTACCAAGATATATATGTTATATCTAGATACATAATAAAAAACTATAAATCTAGAAATATCAAAGAGTCTTCTACTACACAATCATGTGTTTTATGTATTTTTAACATAAAAATTTTTTGTACCATAGAATTAAGATCCAACAGCCTCCGTTTTTTTTCTACCTCCAGCTTATAGCCTCCATAGATCACAGATCACATATTATAGATTACAATTTTTTTTCTATAAAAAGACAAATCACAGATCCGCTACCGTCGCGGGGGACGCCACGCAGCGCCTGGCGCACTGCTTCGTGGAGGCCCTGGAGGCGTGCCTCGCCGGCACGGGGAGCGTGCTGCACAGGTCAGCGAGTGGACCGCCTCGTCCTAGGCGATGGTTGGCCT